TCCCCTTCTTTGCAAGTGGGGTTCTTTACATTATTTTCGTTTACAAACGAAATACTTTAAATTACCTTATGAAATTTTAACCCCAGAATGTTATGGCATTTATACACTATTCAACAATTAAATATTATTATTGATTCTGATTATTATATTATATTTTTATTATATATCAGTTTCTAGCCCTAATGATGTTTGCCGTATAGGGCTCTACAAATCCTTCTAATTAACCTTTTTTCGTAAGGAAAAGTCCAGTGACTTAAACTTAAACTTAACGTCCCCCCTGATGACAAAATTGCTTTTTGTATGCCTCAGCAAGATTTTACTGAAGCTGTATATAAAACAACAAATACTTTTACCATTTTGACAGTAAATATAAGAACAAGAATCTTTGTAGTGATATATATATATACCTACAGGCGAATAGAAGTAATTGGCCTTGTTTTAGTAACTTGGTCATATTGATAGGACGACCTAGAGGAACGCACCTTGTCCAGAGTGCATAGTATGCATGTAAATTTCCAGAGTCGGACCGTGGACGTGGTACATTCCCAGACATTTCGCCGGCATCATAGTCGGCATCATCAGTGAGTCTTTCCATTTTTAGCACCACACTAAAATTCGTTAAGGAGACAAGTGAAGCCGATCCTTTGACCAATTGTCTGCTAAACAATCGTGGCAGCTCTCCTTCACCCCTGGGCTAATCCACAATCCTATATCATTGTATCACACCTTCACTATCACAATTCATTACTTGCTTATTTAAATGTGTTATTGTGTGCACTTTTAAGCGGCTTTCATGAGAACACTGCACACTCCACGCTGGCTTTATCACTCCCCCTCACCCTTGGGCTGTGAATGTTGATCAGAGTCTGCCATATTGTTATACATTCCTCCTAGTCTGTTGTGTGCCAATCCACAATAATTTGGGTTCAACATTGAACCTAATCAAAGCAAGCAGTACCACAACATTTGTGGGTTGGCGCACAAGATACTATGGCATATGAAGTCACAGACCTGGTATTACGGATAGAAACAGGATAAACGTGGCGGAGTAGGCCTGTTTTACCATAGACGTGGTCTATGTAACAATGGCTTGACTATGAGAATTATGCAGGGTCTTTAGCCTCAAGTTTGTCTCCCAGACGCCTAGTGTGGGAAATAAC